AATCTCTCTCACGCATAAAGTGCGGCTCCAACTTAGTTAGGGGAGAAGAAAAAATAACAACAAAAAACAAAACTTTAAATCTCAAATTTCTCGAATACTCTTATCTGATACAGATCTACTATTATTATTTTCTATCTAATATCCCTTTCAATACCCCTTTTGACAGGGGAAAAGAATGGCCATTCACAAGGAAAATAAATTTAACCGCTTTGATTTACCGTAGTAGTGTTTTGAAGTGCCATAAACCACGAACACCTAACACGTTTTAAATTGAATTTCCTTCTCTAGGTGTTTTCAAATACCTATCAGCCTAAGATATCAAGAATGTTTAATAAAAAAAATGAGGTTTGGTTCTTAACTCATCCGTCATGTCTTATGATTCACTAATTGTTACTTTAAATGCTATTCTACTTTCGCTTAGGTATTTTTCTTGACATGCCTATATTTAAAAATCGGCTTGTTCTGCCTATAGGGAGGTTATATTTATATTATGGATATTTAAGTTTATATGGTTTTAAACTTTATATATATGTAGTCTAGTCCATGTGACTGGGATTGGAATAACTTCTAATGTTACTTCGATTTGATGGAATATTCAAGGAGTGTGTGGGTTGACGCCTACAAGATGGTCCAATAAAGATTGTTTCTGGTTTCCTCAACGTTTTTCATTTAGGGGTAAGTTTTTTCCTTGACAAGACTATACTTCAATAAAGACCCATCCCATAGATTTTATCCTCAAATCATAAACCATGTATGTTAAAACATATATAATTATGTTTTTTTTTTTTTTTTATATTTGTTTATTTAGAAATATTACATTCTGTCACATCAAGGACATTTATAATAGTGATCAGAGAAAGCACACTCACACTCTATTTACAAAAAAATAAATAAATAAATAAATAATACAGAAACTTAATAATAATAAATACAATAAAATAAAATAAATGTATATAAACAAAAGAACTAACCTAATCATACACACTCGGGCTTGAGTGGAGGATCTGGCCATTGCCAAAACTCCAATAGATGCTTATTTACAAAAGGTCTCTCGGCCACTGCCGCTTCAACCTTCGAGGAGGATTGTAAGGATGGGTGGTGCTGGATAGAGATTGTGCAAGGGGATTTGGATGATAGGTAAGGTTTTGGTGAAATTTGGAGAATTTTTCTGGAATAAGGTCTAGGACAAATGGGATATTAAGGTCATGGTGTAGGATTTTGTTATTTACATAGAACGGAGCATCAACTATTGTTCGAAGGACTTTAGATTGAAAGGATTGAATACGTTTGATGTTAGAAGCTTTTGCTGTCCCCCACAGTTCAAGTCCGTATGTCCATATAGGTTTCAGTATTGTCTTGTAGATAAGTAATTTGTTTTCAATAGAAAGTTTGGATTTTCTGTTTAGTAGTCTGTATAGCTGGCCGTATCGTCGGTTGAGTTCTTGTCTTTTGAGTCTAGTATGTGGGTTCCACGTTAGTCTTCGGTCTAAATGAAAGCCAAGATACCGGACTGTGTCTGAGTAAGGAAGCTGGATGGAATTAAAGTGTACTGGTGGACAGGAACTGCGTCGGAGTGTAAAGGTAATATGTTGGCATTTAGATTCATTAACTTTAATGCGCCAGTTATTACACCAGTGCTCAATCAAGGTGAGGTGGTTTTGGAGATTTAAGGATGCTATGTTGGGATCAGAGTTGGATGATAAGATTGCGGTGTCGTCAGCGAATGTTGCAAGAAAAGTGTCGGGATGAACAGGGATGTCAGCAGTAAAGAGGATGTAAAGCACGGGACCCAAGACGCTGCCTTGGGGAACACCGGCTTTAACGGTGTAGATATTGGAAAATTCTGTTCCACAGCGAACTCGGAAGGAGCGGTCAGAGAGTTAGGATCGGAGGACTAGGTACAAGGACAGAGGTAAATGGATTTTAAGCTTGAAGAGCAGTCCGGAATGCCATACCCGGTCAAATGCCTGTGCAATGTCCAGAAATGCACCCGAACAGTATTCCTTGTTTTCTAGGGCTGAGGAAATATGATCAACAACTCGGAGTCCTTGTTGAACAGTAGAATGTTGGGAGCGAAAACCAAACTGATGGGAAGGAATATTTTGGGATTCTATAATGGGTAGGATTCGTTTCAAAAGGATCTTTTCAACAATTTTTGAAAGGATTGGGAGTAGGCTAATTGGTCTATAGGATGTTGAGATATTGGGAGGTTTGCCTGGTTTTTGGAAAAGGATAATAGTGGAGTGTTTCCATAGCAGAGGAAAGTGGGTGGTGCGTAGGATACAATTGTAGATATATGTGAGGAATATGACTGCTTTGGATGGAAGTTGTCGAAGGATTTGAGGGGTAAGGAGATCATGTCCAGGAGCTTTACGGGGGATTAATTTTTTTAATTGAAATTTCACTTCGGAAGGATGAATAGCTTTTGGGGGCAAGGAAAGTGGGATTGGTGATGTAAGGAGTTCTTCTACTGTTACGGTGTGGGCAGGATGGGATTCCGGATGTGAAATAAATGTATTGGATAGGTGAATGGCGAACTCCTCAGCCTTATCTTCGTCAGATGCTGCCCAGGAGCCATCATCTCGTCGGAGGGGATGGGAAATGCGGTGAGGATTTAAGATTTTGGTAGTGGTTTTCCAAAGGGAATTGTCGCGAGAAGAAAGGGAGGATAGGTAGGAGTTGAAGGAATGTGATCTGAAGGTGGCTAATTCCAGTTTTAATTTTTTGCAGTAATAATTATAGGAGCAGCGGTCGGTAGGATGTCGGGTACGTTGCCACAATAATCTGGCACGGCGTTTGGTTTGGATTAGGTCAAGGAGGTGTTGGGGTAGAATGGTCTTTTTAGGAATTCTGGAGGAGTCTTTTGGGAAGGAAGCAGTCCAGGCGGCTTGTTGGATTGTGGTAGTAAAGGAATTTACGGCACTATCAAGGTCATCGGGAGTTTTGAGGGATATGTTAAGATCAATTTTATCGGAGATGATTTGGCGGAAAAGGTCCCAGTCAACTGGGCCCCTAATAAATGACGGTGGAGAAGGTTTGGGAACGGGTTCAAGTGAAACATTAAGGATTACAGGACTATGGTCAGAGGAAAGTTCATTTAGATATAATTATGTAATCAAGAGAAATTGGAAGAATGCTGTACTGGATCTTGCTTACTAATTTTTCCATAAGAGATGTTGAATCGAAATTATAATAATAAATTTTACCCGTATAGGTGTGTATTTCAATCATTTGTTATTCTCAAAATTAATTTGAGTCTCGATTCCAATCGCCTGATTCGATTCAGGTAATCATTTCAGGAATGAGAGAGCCTAGTTAATATCTATCATTCTATAGTTTTCCTCTCATTAATTTTATGGATAAAAGCGAATTTGATACTGCCAATTTCCGATGCCCCCATTTGACCGATTCTGACAATACCCGTCCCTTTCCGCTTCTCCGCATTTTGCCATATTGTCTGAAATACTCTAATCCCCTGGACCGTCAAATCGTTTCCATATTGTGGGATCGCTATGGCTATATCTTGGATATTTTATTATCGTCATCGGTTACACATTCTGTCGATTGCGGCTTACTTGTAATATAGTCATATAGATTATAGCATCGAACCATATAATTTTCGATGTTTTCAATAGAATTTGTCACAAGGTTTAACAGTAAATTTGTGTTTGACTAAGTTTTTATGTAAAAAATTGGGAAATTATATCTTGCCTTAGAGATAGCTGAAATAAGAGAATTGGTCGGAAGGGTAAGGTGATTTGGTTAGGCTAGAAGACGGGATGAGATGGTTTTAGTAATGGATGAAGCTTCCTTTTCCATATCCTTATCTCGGACTTCTACAAACTGACTTTTCCACTTAGCAGTATTAAAATCGATAGTTCCATTCCTACTGTTACTCCAAATGGCTTTATTTTTAGTAAGTTCCTTTTTATGTTCCACAAATAAATCACGAGAGTGTTTTCAGGAACTGAAAAAGAGGATGTATAAATAATTTTCCCATTAAGGGAAAAAGTAAAAATAATTCCCAGCTCTCAGAGTTGGGAGGAAGGAAATATTAAATATTGAGAAATTTATTTTTTAACTAAATTATTCTCCGTCTGATTTTAAATATATTAAAATGTCAATTACTTTAAATTGATGAATCTAACAAAATCATATTATGATTTTTTTTTTAACGCCTCTTGATTCTTGATTTCTTCCGCCATTAGTCTTCTCGCAGCATTGGGGCTGTTCTAGGCGATAAGATGTAATCGTTTGGTTCTCTTCTTATGTAGACGGTATCAAGAGATCACGTGGTTTTATAATAACCGGACGCGATCACAATCACTTCCTCTTCATCAGGATGGAGGAATATTTTATTCCTATAATAAAATATTTTATTTGTGAAAATTCTCGGAATCGGGGCTTTATCGGGGGCAGTTTATTTAATTAGGTACTAAAAACTCGTAAATGATCATTTTCTTTTCACTTGAACCGTAAGATAATATGAGAACGAACTCTAGAAAAAAAGGTGGCCTTCAAAAATATTGAGGTGTTTGACGTGAACTACACCTACAAAATGTCAAAAAAACGAGGTTGTATAGACCAAATTTTCAAATATTTTTGCAGGTCATCGTTTTTCTCGATAAAAATAATAATGTTTAATATAAAAAAAATAATAATAATATGATAAAATTATCATACGATCTAAGTGGAAAGCAAATGGATAAGAATTTTTAGTACCTAATTAAACAGACAAATTTTGCCGATCTCTAGATTGAAAACGCCCCAATTCCAAGATTTTCCGTAAATAAAATAGTTGTAAGTTATTCACATTGAGGTAAAGCTATTCACGAAGTTCAGGCGGATGTTAATAATTTGATAAAAAAAAAATGTGTACCACTGATTAAGTATCAACCCATATCGATATCAATACTGTCTTAACAAATGCTGTACAGTATTTCAGTTCAGTTTATTGCCCTCCCTGCTGTAAATGGTAACCTACAACCCACTACGAACTGATGGCAATGCCTACATCACAAATACCAGATGAGGTTGGCAGTTATTCGCTACTCCCGGATGTGGACTGGTAGTATAGACCTGTGTAACTGTTGTGTAGGCAGTGGCAGTTGGACCAAACAGTGCACCATTACACTACCACACCACCATACCACTACAACACTACACTCGTCATGTCTCCAGTGATTTGGTCCCTATATTAGGGTAAGTTTCCCTTGCCTTTCACTGCAATGCGGTTCATTCTGCCTGTATGCTTCGCGTGTTGCTTGAGTTTTATTCTTTACCCTCTGATGATAAATACTGTCTCTGAATTAATGCTTGTCTTTTTATCGTTATAACTCAACAAACTTTTTTTCGCACAGTATTATAAAATGTATCAACTACTATATTTTTCATTTTGAAATATTAAATACATTGTACACAATTGTTTCTAACAAGGTTTTGTTAGGAATTTTGTTTCGTTTGAAGTATACAACCATAATACTATGCCACAAAAAATTATAATTATTTTATTCATATTTTTATCTTGTTTACTTAGATTGATACCTAGTTACAAATGTACGCGTCCAATCCTTTCAGTCTAAAGTCCTCCGTATGATAGTCAATGCTCCTTATTACGTTACAAACAAAACCCTACATCATGACCTTTACATCCCTTATATCCTTGAAGTTATTCCATCCCGATTCTCAAATTTTCACATGAACCTAATCCACCATCCTAACCGTTTAGCACAATCCTTATCTAGCTCCAGTCATCCCTACAACCCTCCTCGAATGTTGAAACGGCAGTGGCCTCGAGATCTCTTGTAAAGACGTCACTGGAGTTCTGGCAATGGCCAGCTTCTCCACTCAAGTCATGAGTGTTAGTGGTTTTAGTGCCCTCTCTCAGTCTCCACCGGACTGGTAATGCCGGCGACGTGGTTGAGAGAGAAGCGCTGGGATCTCTTAAAGTCTTGCTTTGTCCTTCACACGTGGGGGAAAGGGCTGGACTCGGAGATCTCTTACCTAATTGTAAATATTGTATTTAAGTATGAATGTTTTTCTATTTATTTCTATTACTTATAATTTATTTAATTTTGCTACGAATTTCTGTATTTCATTTAATTTTAACTCTAAGTTACATTTCCTTGGTTTATTATAGTTTTTGCCTTTGTTACATAGATTTTTATATTTTTTATTTTTTTTTTTATGTATTGTATATATGGTATGAATGTGCCTCACTCAGCCTTAGTACTCAGTGCCCTTAAGTGTGGCAAAATGTATTATTACTCAATAAACAGATAGATGAATAAAAAAAAAAAAAGTTGCAAATGCGTGGGACATATTATTAACATTTGCTTATAGTGAAAAGATTCTCTCATTTAAATCATTTTCTGTAAATCGATTTTCGTGTTTATGTTTCATGTATGTCATTTATATTACATTTGTTTTTGCAGGACTGTCAAGAAATTGTTTGTAGTGGGTCAGTTTTCGTTCGTTCGGGATTTGGCATCCATAAGTAGATCCTAGCCAACCAAGTTGTCAGAAATAGAGCTTTATACGTTTATTTTATTTTAATTAACGTAGACATATTTTTTGGGAGATAATTGATACGAACTGACTCACAGAAATATGCATTAATATCTCAGAATGTTTCCATATATATAATTGAAAGGTTTCCAACACAAAGCACGCACTCTAAAACATCAGCCAATTCAGTAGTGTTGCTCAAAATCGGTCTTTGGCCGCCTCGCCTAACTGTTGCTAGACCAAGACCACGACTGGTAAAAAAAATCAATTTTTTGAATAAAAATTAAGGAAAAATAGTTACTAATACTTGACAATCTTAGTTACTATACATAAATCATTGGTATAACTAATATACTTTTGCATTTAACTGCTCTAATTTTTCATTCGGGCTTAGTTAGGTTTCTCCTATCTAAAAAAGTTATAAGCTCCTATCTCTATAGTATTAAGCTAATAAGTAACTGCAAGACTGTTGCGAGACTCTTTCCCAACGTTGCGGCACTCTCCTCTTCCAAAGTCTCAGTAATAAATCCTGTTAAACTACACCTCGCAAGAGTCTCATGAATCGAGCATGAACAAGACTGAGTTTGCAAGACCAAGACTCGTCTCGATCTCGCATTTGGGCAACACTACAATTCAAGTACCATCGGAAACATGGTACCTTTCAAATTCAATCCTAAGAATTATTAATTACAGTTATATTTTTTTTAAAAATGTTAACGTTATAGTAATTGTGATATTTTCCTCTTCGTCATCCTCTAAGGATCTTTGTTCAGTTGTAGATGAGCTTGGTTTAACTGATTCTCCATTGACGGTTATAGAGAAATAAATATGTTGTAAAGCAGAATTAAGGGTTTTAACAAGGTATCAGCGCGACTATTGATGGATAAGGAGGCGGGGTGGACGAACGGGCTTACGCGTGTGTAAGTGTGTAAAATACGCGTACTCTGACAATATGATAAACCGAGGATTACGAGGTCAACTCCCTCTTAACTCTGACGTAATTTCCCTGTACCGGTAAAAAACCACGTATAGTCTAAAAGGCCATGAAGGGAAGAAAAAAAAATCTATAAACGTAGGTTCAAAACATACAATGAGGTATTGCAGTTTAAACTGACTAATTGCGAAATCCATCTTAGAGGCTTATGAGTGAATTTTAACAATCTTCTAGCGATCCTTCGAAAATTGCAATTTACATTTTAAAAATGATGAAGCGTTAAATTCGCCCGAGTTCGTTAAGCAATTGTTGAATTAAGGCTCAGATTTATGGGGACTAATATTGCTTAGCTTGACAGACACCAGCTGCCTGCTCCTATTAGATAACCTTAGCAGAAGGTGGTTTTACAACCCCGCCCCCCCCCCCTCTCCAGCCCCTTTATAATTATGTTTTCCCAACTGTGCGGCACCCTTCTCTTCCAAAGTCTCTGTAATAAATCCTGTTAAACTACACCGCCGAAATATGCTACATATATAAAATTAAAGGATAATTCAAAATGTTAATGCACTTTCATCCTTTAGATACAAATGCAATTTAAGTTAAAATAAATTTACTGTTTGAATTAAATATGTCCACATGTTTCAGAATATCTTCAGCATCATTGCGAAAATAAACTACTGGAGTATATTTGTATCCCTTATTTGTCATCAAGAGATGGAAATCTATATAAAAAAATATGGGTTTGCCGTGCAGAAGCTAGCTGAAGATTGGATGGATTTATAATAATATAGTTCGAAATATAAAAAGAGGTAGTCTGGTAGAAACACATTTTTCGAAGATCGGAAAAGCGATGACAGGGTGTTTTAAAGAGTAAACATTAACATTTTCGAATCTAGCGACACCGGTTCAAATCCGGTCTGGGTGGGTTAAAATTTACTTCGTCGTATACAATTTCTCGGACCCCTGGAATGAATTTCGATCTTTCCACACTGGTTAAAATAGCTTTGGTTGCATCTCTAGAACAACCGTCCGTATGCCTTAAATGGCTAGATAGAGGTATCCAGAAAAAAAAAAAGTGGAAAGGGGCTTATAAACCATAATCTCTAAGTAAGGAGTCGATGGTACAGCAAGATATACATGAAGGGTCTTGAAGAAAGATAGTTTTGAACTTTATGAAGCTTGATGTGTTGATATGTTTTATTGTAATAGATTACTACTCCAAAGTTTGTGAAATGGTTAAGTTATGGAGTTGATCACTTTTTTTCAAGTCCTGTGGAATCTTGTAAGGTTATTGCAGATAGAGAAACTCAATTTTCCTTTTTTGGCTTTTTAAACTTTTTCGAAGCAATGATTTTTTTGAACGCACTCTGAAGAGCTGAAAATATCTTGAATCTAATAGATAAATTGCTACATAGTAACAGTTCACATTTACTAGATCTTACAAATACCTAATTTTCGGACATACAATTCGTAGGAGAGGCTTTAATTAGTAGACCACTCAAAGAAGTCAGCTGACAGAGGTCATTTGCTGCCTAAATTGCTATACCAAGAGTAAATTAAAAACATATTGGAAGATCAGCAAAAGAAGACCAAGAATTACTTCCTGTCTTCCCTCTTTGAATGAAGAAAAAAAAGACTCTTTAGAAGATGGCAGAAAAAGAGAGGAAGCGTGGTGAAGAAAGGGAGTATTGAAACATTTTCAACGCATTGAATTAGCTTACTTAAATATTTTTTTTAAACTTTAATATAATATAAAGTTTAAAGAACTTAAGACTTCAAGGAGTAACACACTGCAATTTTCACTCATTTTAACATACCGCGATTGAAGTACTCTATATGGACTTAAATGAGTTAAAAGTTAAGTTTCCTACAATATTTTTTTTTCAAATTTTCCTTTTTCTAGTAGCGACCTCGATCAAAAACTAAAATTATTAGAATAAGTAAATTAATTTCAATAAGTAGTCAACAGTTTATCTCCATTTGATGGTTGTCATGCATAGTTTTATGTTTGGGTTTCAGTTACTATATATTTCATATTGCTGAACTTTATTTTCAGATTATGTAGTCCATTAGTAACATTAAATCTTTAAAATGACCATTTCCTAATGTAATATTACCAAGAATTACTCATCTAATTTGATTTTCCAAGATGAAATCTCATCAAGAACTATATATTTTTCTAAATTTAAAATAAGATTTTTCAGTATTAAAAAAAAAAAATATTTCGGTAATTGCCAAGATTAATTGGAATATTCAGTCCAAAATCAAATCAGGTTGATAAAATAACCAGGTATTGAACTAAACTAACCCAGTTAGTTTCGATTTTGAATTAACTATTTTGATCTTCCAATGCATGATAGCAGAAATCCCCACCCTTAATTCAATTTTTTTTTCACTTTGAAAAAGGTGAAAAATGTTAAAATTTTATTAGACCTCGTGACAACATTCGTATTTTAGGATATTATTTATACTTCTTAATATACTATTGCCGTCTAAATTCTTATTGTATTTATTCTTCTTGTGTATGTCACTTTTAAAATGAATCCTGTGCAGTACAAGATTTTTTTACAAACCATCATTATTTGTCTCATTTTTTTTTTTTTTTTTTTTTTGTCCGCTTTCCTCGCCTTTTCAGCTATACGGGTTTTCCCCAACGGGATGCCCCCAAAACTACAATCTCCTTTCCCCACATCCACTTATATTTATTTCAACCACACATTATGTTTAGGTCCCTTAAGTTGTTTAATATCGTTAATGTGGGCCCTATCTAATCACCAAAGTAATTACGATTATGACTTATTTCTTGTCCAGGAGCCTATAAACTACGGTCATGGATCACTTCCAATCCAGTCGGCTACGGTTTATTTCGATTACATTTAGTGGCAGTTTAATCTGTAAGTCAAATAACAAATATTTAGGTTATCAGACTGCGAGGAAGGGCTTTATCTATTCAACATCTTTGCTAGAAGGGAACAATCTAATTACTGTGAGTAAGTATTACGCTTCTATGTACATCATACGTAATGAGGATTTAATTATGTTTATTTATTTTACATTAAGATTTTGATCAGACCTACAAATACTTTAACTACTTAAGACCTCTTAGTTAGTACCTTAATCCGCTGCTAATTACACTTTAAAATTTGTTTTTTAAAGAGATCTTACGAAATAAATATATTATTCCATTTAATAACAAATTAAGATATATCATAACTGAAATCACAATCACAATAATACTGAATATTTTAACTATAATAAATGATATGCTAATGTTGGTACGATGAGCTAGTAGCTAAGTAATCTAAGTGGGAGAGTTAGGAATTAAGAAGTCAGTGTGGCCATTAACCTACTAAATTTGGAGACCCTCGGCCTTTTATATATTAATATTAATATCACCTGCTCATCCTATACTAACATTTCATCGATGGTATGCATATAGGGTATCTCAAAATGGGTTGAACAACTAAAAAAAGTTACAGATGTAAGGTAAATGAGCTTTCTAATTTTAATGAATCATATCATATTTGATTCAGTCATACAGTAATTTTTATTTGATATTGTTTAAAAAATCTCCGATAGAAAATCACAAAATGAAAAACGGCACAATTTGTATCCAAGAATTTGAAGATATTTTAATATTTCTCTCTAACATTTGCTTATTGCTTTATTTATTTATTTTTATCTCTTATTACATTTGCAGCTTTACTATCATATGTTTTAAATAATTTCCACCAGAGTAATGAACTTTTTCAGTATTGCGCAACGACAATAACTTATTGGTTTGTTATTCCCGAGGGCAGTTGAATAGTAAATTACACTTGAGGGCGTTCACTCGTCAGCTTAGTTCTAGCGCCCCATCGCTTTTTTACCGACTTAGCATTAGTCTTTCTCAAGCTCAGGGTTCCAATGTAAATTTCCAGCTGTGTCTAGGGCTATTATTTCTTATTTTCTCTTCTCAGGAGTAAAAGGTAAATAATTTGGAAGGAAATTCAGATAAATTTAGCTCCCTGTATGTCTGTTTTTTTGTTATTAAGTATAAATGTGTCATTATATATGATTGGAAAAC